AATAAGGCAAATGGAAGGAACATTTGCCTTGGTTTCAACGACAAAGGCTTGGAGCCAGATCTCTCAGCACAGGGGAAAGGTTGTATCACTCTAACATTTCAAGCAGATTTTTGCAGAAAGGAAACTACAGAGGAGGAGTGGTGGGGAGATGAATCACTTAGACCCTTTCCTAGCCCCTTGCAGGTGGTTGTACAATTTGAAGCAAAGCACTCTTGGGTACACCATGTTATATGTAGGCAGCTGTGAAAAAAAAAAAAACACATATCCACATGCCCTGTGGGCCCAAAAAAAATATTAGGTTTGGACCTAAAAGAAATCAGAGTGAGACTCAAGCTCTTTGATCTATTCTCTTGAGAATTTCCCCCCCTCTTTTGGTGTTTCTCTTTTTTGGTGTCCTCTAAGAACAAGAAAAGATTTGGTCAGGAAAGTCACTCTGCCTCATCTGTGGGCAGATGCTTGCACAGTCTGGTAGCCACTAGGGAACAAGACACAGGGTAGCATGTTAATAATAGCTGACCTTTGGCGAGCACTTTCAAGTTTGCCAAGGCTTTGCCTACATAATCTCATCTTTCTTGAAACAGTTCTGGGAGGCAGGTGCTATTATTATCATTATTTCACAGACAAGGATATTCAAACTAAAGAAATCAGTTGACTTGTCCAGGAACTCCCATTTAGCAAGTATACATAGCAGGATTTAAACCCAGGTCTTCCTGAAGTCAGGTCTTGGATGTTAGTCATTAGTCAAGCTGCCTCCTAGCTTGACGAGAAGGGGATGTCCTTAAATGTGGCTATAACCAATGGAACTATTTCAGACCAAATAGAGTTTTGATGACCCTAATCATAGTGAACAATGAAAGAATATAAACATACAAATTCATTATCTATATAAATTATAGGTATGGTTATGTTTACAATACAGAACTTTAAAAAAGAAAATAAAAGTGCTTCCTGAATTTGTATTTATACAATTTTATCCTGTTTCACTTCATTCATTTGGGTACTACCATGTGTAAGACACCATACTATGTTGGGCACTGGGGAAGATTAAGATGGAATAATTTAAAAGAGAGGCTCTGAATATGCAATGAATTTTTTACTACTTGGAGAGTTTTTGTTTTTATTTTTCCAGAGAAGAAGCATTTTATGTTTAAAACATGTCATTAAATACATTTATGCTTCCTTAGTGATGACCATCTTGTGTAACACAGGCCCAGAGTATAGGATTGGTAGGGGGCCGGGGGGGGGAGTGATAAATGTGTATACCACTATCTTCTTAAAGTACAGTTCTGCCCAAGTCACCCTCACCACCATTCGAGAAACTCCACTGACTCCCTATTACCTCCAGGATCAAATCTAAAATCTTCTGTTTGGCTTTCAAACACGTTTCTAATCTGGTTCCTTTTCTGCCTTCCAATCTTCTTGCACCTTCCTTCCATTCATGGACTCTATGAACCAGGGACCCTGGCCCCCAGGTTCTTTCTCCTTCTGTCTCAGAATGTCTTCCTTGGCTGGCTCCCATGCCTGGAATGCTCTCCCTTCTCAGCTCCATACTCAAGCTTCTCTGGATTCCTTCAAGTCACAGCTGAAGTCCCATCTTCTGTAAGAAACCTTCCTCATTCTCCTTAATCTTAGCGTCTTTCCTTTAAGACTACTTCCAATTTATCTTGTAAAAATATAATCAGTACATAGATTTTTGCATATTGTCGCACCCATTATATTGTGAAGTCCTTGAGAAGAAAGTCTTTCCCCCCTTTCTTTGTATCCCCAGTGCTTTGTATATAGGCACTTGATAAATTCTACTTGAGTGATCAGAGCTATTAGGTGGCACAGTGGATAGAGTGCCTGCCTGCAAATCAGGAAAACTCATTTTACTGAGTTCAAATCTGGCTTTAGACACTTAATATCCATGTGATCCTGGGCAAGTCACTTAACCTTGTTTACCTCAGTTTCCTCATCTGCCAAATGAGCTGGAGGAGAAAATGGTAAACCACTTCAATATCTTTGCCAAGAAACCCCCAGATGGGGTCACAAAGAGTCTGAAATAACTCAGCAACTTGACTGACATCACACCAAACTCTAAGTCCAAGCGAACTGCATAAGGTCCTAATGTGGAGACCTGATTTATGTAATGTAACTTTTTAAAAATTCTTTTTGTTCATGTAAGATATTTCCCAAAACTTTTAAGTTGATGATTAAGCTTTAATTTAAAACATCTCTGGCTGCTTACATATCCACAGATCCTAGCCTCTGCCTGCTTCGATGATAGGCTATTCCACTAGGTTCAAGGCAACCATTCCAGCTATCCACAGCTCCAGAGGAGCCACCTTGCTTGTCCAGGCCTGCTTGCTGCCTCAATAGCCATTCCATCTAACTTGAGGCATCCACTTATGTTTCGTATACTACAAATGAGTGTGTGTATATATGTGTGCATGTATGTATGTGTGCATGTATGCATACATATGTGCATGTATATGTGCACATTTGCACACATATATGCATACAATATATACACATACATATATGTGTATACACACATATACATACATATAGTTCTTTTTCTGCTTTCCTTGAATTCTTTGTGGCATAAGCCTAATAAAGCCTAATAAAGAGTATGCACAATTTAGAAGCTTATTGAGTATAGTTCCAAATTATTTTCCAGAATGACATGACAAATTCATAGCTAAACCAATAGTTCATCAATAAGTCTTTCACCATAGCCTTTCCAACTTTTACAACATTGGCAACATTGTTGCCAGTCTAATGTGCATGATTTCTTTAAATTACTCAAATCTTTATTTTTAAATTTTGTATTTCCCTAATTATTAGTAATTTTGAGTATTTTTCACATTTTTATTGATAATGGATTTTTTTTCTTTGAAAACTGCTTGCTTATATCATTTTACAATCTATCTATTGGGTAATGGCTCTTAGGAATACATGACTTCTTTCAGTGTCTCTCTCTTTTATCTAAATTTCCTTTCAATACTCCTGTGCCATTAAACAACCAGTGTTTAGTGATTTCTTTTATGTGTAACTCTGCCTCTTGAGTATTTAAATCGATTTTCTTTTCTCATATGGGCACCTGAAGGTAAATGGATTATTCCAGGTGGATTTTTCAGAAGAATAAGTCTATATATTCTACTAAACATTCTTTACAACTGAGCCAAGGCTTAACTCACTTCTTTTTTCTCTTGCTTAGTTTTCAGGCATGAGAGTGAGTGTGTGTGTGTGTGTGTGTGTGTGTGTGTGTGTGTGTGTGTGCATGAGCACATTTGGGAGTCTATGAACTTGGTTGTTTTTCTTGTTTTGATAACTGTATCTTGCAAAAATATTGCATTTTAATATAATTGGTTGCTTTTAATCATATGTGTTTTGTACATTTAAGAACATGATTCTGAGAAGAGGTCCATAGGTTTCACCAGAATGCCAAAATTCCACTACACACAAAAAAAGTTAAGAACTTAAGAATTAGATTAATTAATTCTACCTCTGACCTGCATTTCTCTATATCTTTTATTAGTTTCACATTGTCAGTTATAAAGTTGGTTTGATATGGGGGATGTTGAAGTTTTTTGCCTCCTTCCCTGAGCATCTATTTTCCCTGGTCCCCTAAACTGTTAGTTTCAGTTCTTGGAAAGACACTTGGATTCGTCTGACTTCTAGCTCAGCTGCTTACTACCTGTTTGACACTATTCAAGTCACTTTACCTTAATGGATCTCACTCAGTTTCTCATCATAAAATGAGAGGCTTGGATTAGATAATATCTATGGTTCCAATTTAATTTATTATTATTATTTTTTTATGTAAGGCAATTGGGGCTAAGTGACTTGCACAGTCACACAGGTAGTGAGTGTTATGTGTCCGAGGCTGGATTTGAATTCAGGTCCTCCTGACTTCAGGACCAGTACTCTATGCACTGTACCATATCTCTGCCCCTCCAATTTAATTTAAATTTAAAATTTTAAATTCTATGGTTCTTCCTTCCTGCTATCTTAGACAGTAAGGCTTTAATGAGCAAGGGGACACACTTTTCTGAGATGCTCTTCACAATATTTACCATAGTGCTATGGTAATGTATCTCCTTGTAGGAGCCCAGCAGAGTGGTTTCCCTGCAGCAACGGCCCAATAAATGTTTGTTGAGTGAACAAATACATGGTAAGCACTTCAAGACTTCGTTGTCCTAGAAGGTAAAAGCTGGAAAGATGGTGATACTATGCTAGAAAGTTCCAGGAAGTCTCTGAACTTTTATTCTATTATTTCCTTGTTCCATCCCAGGGCAGTGTACTGAATCCACAAAACAGAAATGTTATTAAACACCACTGTTAATTGTGAACCTCTCTGAGATCTCAGATGAGGTTATTTGCATCAATCTGTCAACAAGCAATCAATTGCAGTCATTATATTTCAAAAGATCAGTGACTCCACAAGCCAAACAATACTACCATTCCATTTGATGGTTCACAGTTATTCTGAAACCCCATTAATTTGCAGGACATACCCTCAGACTTACAAAATGATGCCATTAAGGGCTGACATTTCCCAACCAAATGCCACCTGCTCTCTCTATATATTAAAACAGAACAGCACAAAACCAAACAAAACAAACCCATTTTCCTTTGCATTTGAGCATGCTTAATGCATTTCTCTTGGGACAGCCATCTGTGGTGTCTTAAATACAGAAAATGCAACAATTCAGGGGAAATATTAATGAAATACATGCTTGTAATGTTTTAATCATGCCAAAAATTCTTGAAATACTGATTTGAACTTGAAGCTATTAAGAGTTTTCATTTCCTAAAGAGGTACCCATACAGCATAGAACGAAGCTTTGGGTCAAATCAGACTGCAGAAAAGGACAGACCATGTAGTTGATATTTTGCTTTGGATGTAACAGCAAGACAAGTGCTTTGTAAAACCTCTACGTGCTATATCAGTTTCAGGCACTAATATCAATTTATGGAATGAATGAATGAATAAATGAATAGACCATAACACAAGATTCTCTAACTCAAAAGTCAAATATTAAAGTTTTATTTTATAAGACAGCTCAATTAAATTCAACAAACGTTTTGTGAAGTGTTAATGATGTACGCTGAGGTCTTGAAGAAGTTAAATGACTTGGTCATGAGCACAAAGCCTGCAAGTGACAGAAAAGATGTGAATACAGGATTTTGGGACAAGACAAAAAGGAATAGTTGCAGTCCTCAAGCTGCTTCTATTCTACGGGGGGAGACATAGCATGTAGGCAGATACAGTGCAAAGTAGAGGCAAAGTAATAGACAGTAATTACAGGAGGGAGAGATAAGTAACGGGTGGAGCCATTAGGAATGGGTTCATAATGGAAGTGGTCCCCCAATCTGGGAATGTGGAGATTTTACAGGGCAGGAGTGAAGTGAAAGGAGAAAACCTCATTTATCATGTTATATACAGAATATGCAAACATAATAATAACAATAATCCAAATGCCAGATCATTATACAGTAAAATACATGCTGTGGTAAATAATACTTCAAATGCTGTATTCAGTCAACCGACTGATTAAGCATCCATTTCGAGTATACACATTTTCAGGTTGAAGAGAAACTCACTTGGTTTGCAGGGTCAGTTTGCTAGCCTTGGAATCACAAAGTCCTGGATTCAAATCTGGTTTCTGTCACTTGCAAGCTTTGTGCACATTACCAGATCAATTAATTTCTCCAAGTCTCAGTTTCTTTATCTATAAAATAGGAATCAACAATATCTTTAGTACCTTTTCCCCACAAGCATCCCTACAATTTTAATATACTATATAAATACTAGGCATTAAAATATTAACAAGTACATAAAATGCTTCCTATGTGTCAGTCACACATCTGCCAGAAACTACATGCCCTCAGTACTTAACTCAGTGTACTACATAAACCTGGCATACTCCTGCTAAAGTAAGGATGTCAATGCTTGAGACCTGAAGGACGTGTCTCACGTGCTGTTCTGTTGTAGTTAAGGAAGTTAAAATCTTTTCTTCGTTTAATTCTTTTTTTAAAGAAAGCTGCAAGAAATCTAAATAGATAAGGGGATTGAGACTCCCTGTGTATCTTTCCTCAAGATTAACCATGAATCAGAAATAGATTTAAGAAGGATCGCACAGATCTTCTGTCCAAGGGAGATCTTAAATTAAAGCCCAAAAACAGATTACTTAGGGTCTGAGAATTTCGAAGGGGAAAAAAAAATCCATCTATACTTTTTTAAATATGTGATTTCTTTCGCATTCCTGTGTGTTTTATTTTATTCATTGAAAAATCTGATTCTGAGAAGGGGTTTTAGGCTTCACCACTCTGCCAAAAGGGACTACAGGGTTCACTACATTGCAAAAGAACATGCGCACACACACACACACACACAACACACACACACACACCACACACACACACACACACACCGGTTAAGAACCTATGGTCTAGTTTAGCAACATCATTTTCCAGACTAGGAGAATAAAGCTCAATAATGTTAAGTGATTTGTCCAAGGTCACACAGGTACTAAATGACATAGGCATTATTTGAACCCAGGTCCTCTGACTGCAAAGCTTTCCACTATGTGTCACACTGCTGCCTGTTCACTTACCCATCTGTGTGCATCCCAATTTTTTTTTTTTCTCCAGGATATGCAAGGCATTGCAGAGGCATCCGAAACAATAGTGCAGTGCATCCTCAGGCTGCTGGTATGAGGGGGAGCCAGGCAGTACAGGGAAAAGAGAGGGTGCTGACTCTGGTGGTCCTGGGGAGCCAGTCCAGAGCCTTGGTCTACTCCTGGACCGAACCGCCACCCCCACCCCTCTCTTTCCCAGATTTTTTGCAGCGTTCCCAGGACGCCTCCAGGTGGCGCGCTGCTGTCCCGTCCTTCCAGCCCGGGTCTCAGTCACTATTTGAGTGATGGGGAGGGCGAGCTTCTCTAGAGATGGAACCTGGAGCGGTCAAAGCATCCTGGGCAGCGGGGTGGAGGCGGGGAGCAGTGCAGGGGTTGGGACGCCTCCCAGGACACCTGGTGCTTCCAGGGATGGAGGAGCTGGATCGGGCAGCGCTGGGATCAGGGATTCCTTGGGAGCATTCAAAGCAGCGTGGATCTGGTCCAGTCCCTCGATCTCATAGGAGCGGAAAGGAGGAAGGACCTCGTGGATGGAGCGGAGCCGGGTAGGGAGGGGCGGCACGGGTCAGTCCTGCCGCTGGGGGCAGCGGGGTCTCGGTTGCGTCTGATGGTGCCTTAGATGTGTCGACGAGGCACTGGGAGCCAGCTCTCCATTTATTTTTAGGAACAGTCCTTTATTGATTTTTTAAAATTTGGTACAATGAAGGCAATAAAAATGCCCCTCTCCCCCCTCAAAAAGAAAAACAACTACAACCAAAAACAATCTCCATGTGAAAACACAAGAGTTTCCTCGTGCTGCTGCTGAGATTGTAAGATACTTTGCAAACAGTATAGAGCTATGCAAGTATCAGTCCTTGAAATTCGGTGCTGATCTGGGTTGGTAGAAGGGAATTCCTCCATGGCAGTGAAATCATAGAATCGGCTGCCCAAACAATATTTAGTAGTAGTTTACAAAGCAGGGGCTCTTAACATGTTTGCATCCTGGACTCTTGGGCAATTTGATGAAGCCTGTTCCCCCTCCCCCATCATACTTTTAAATGCATAATATAAAATGCGTAGAATTACGAAATATATTAAAATGCAATCATTACAATATTTAATTTTGATTACATTTTTATGTAAGTTACTAAACCCCGAAGTTGAGTGCTTTGATATAAAGGGGGGGGGCAGTGTGGTATAGTGGGGAAAGTGCTGCCTCTTGTTTTAAAGATTCTGATTTAAATTCTAGCTCTGCTCTTTATCTAGATGTATGACTCTTGCGCAAACCACTTCTTGAAATTGTTTCCTCATCTGGAAAATAAGGGGAAGGACTAGATTCCTAGAACTCTCAGGTTCCTATCAGCTTTTAGACTTTTGATACTGTTTATTTGGGGAATAGACTTGTGATTTCACCAGTTTAGAGAACTCACCCATTTGGATTTAGAATTATAATTTATCATTTTGGAGAGCTGCCTGGGGCACTGAGAAGTTTCAAGTAATTTGTTCATGATCACATAGGTTTTTCTGTACTAATGTCAGAAAATCAACTCAAATCTCTCTGTCTCTAAGGCTGTCCTTTCCACTATCCATAGCACACTCTTCCTTATTAACAACAAAACAAATTCATCTTTGGTTTTTCAGTTAGCTAGAAGTGTAATGAAATTATTTTTAACACACTAGGAAACAGGTTGACTCCTCTAGACTGGATTATGAAAAATGATTGTTCGGTCAGTGTGGACACGTGGAAAAAAAGTATGGTTGGCATATTTCTGTACAGAAAAGTGTCTGGGGATAAGTGTCTCCACAGAACTGCTGTATATAGGTGTATGTATACAAAGTGAATCATTGCATTCTTAAAGTATATCCAATAATGCATAGTAGTAAGAGTTAAGCTAAGTGGAGATTTAATGAAAATATTTACTAAAAATTGTAGGTATAAATGTATCCATGCATTCATTCATTACATCCCACATTTCTGTAGACATTATACACGGATTCTGAATGAATGAAATGATTCATTTTCACGTGCACAATACATGTGTGCATAACAAACAGACCACCTACATTTTCAGTATCCTAAACTGCTTTCAGCTTTGTACCAAAATAACGTATGTTTCCACGTTGTGAAATGAGGCACAAAGTCCTTGAGAAGTTGGCCAAACATTAATTTATTTTTTGAAGGGGGGGGGAATGTAGGAAGGAGACAATCCAGATCTATCATTTCATGAATGTAAGCACTTACCAATATGGAAACTCTCTCCAGAAATTCAGGTTAACACTTTGGGCCACAAAATTCCAGTCTGTTAACACAAGTCACTTAGACAGAGTTCTAAGCATGACCAATCAATTTATTAGGAATATTAGTGGTCCCTAACTTAACTCTATTCCACTTACACACACCGATACCCATTAAATCATAATGACCTGAGCAAAAATACTGATTAAATTGAGGAGGGACATCAAAATTATCTTCACATAACACAATTTATAGTCTTAGAAAGTTAGTTGGGGTCACTGAAGAGGGTCCGTAAGTATCTATCTATGGTCATGCAACAACTATCAAGGGTACTTCTTCAGCCAGGTCTTGTTTTCAAGGTTCATGCAGGAAGGATAGTTGCTGTTCTTTATTCTTTGTGACCCCATTTGGAGTTTTCCTGGCAAGGATACTGTAGGGGTTTGCCATTTCCTCTTCCAGTTCATTTTACAGATGAGGAAACTCAGGCAAACAAGATTAAGTGACTTGCCCCAGGGTCACACAGCTAGTAAGTGTTTGAGGCCAAATTTGAACTCAAAATCTTGACTCCAGTCAGGGTATTCTAACCACCGCACCATCTAGTTGCCCTAGATTGAATATATTGAACCAACATACTTATTTTAAACATTCAGTTGATAAAGTACATAGGTCACAGGATGCTATATATTGAGTGCAAGGAAAATTAGTCCTTAACTATGTACTTCAACCCACTCAAATTTTACGGGTGATGAAAATGAGGCAGCGAGGTGGCACAGTGGATAGAGCCCTGGACCTGGAGTCAGGAATACCTGAGTTCAAATCCTTACTAACTGTGTCATCTTAGATAAGTTGTTTAACCTCTGTTTGCCTCGGTTTCCTTATAAATAAAATGGAAATAATAATAAAGTTCTTGTGAGGATCAAATGAAACAATATTTATGAGGCACTTAGTACAGTGACTGGAACAATGTAGGCACTAATAAAAGCTAGCTCTTATTTTTAAGTGAGGCCCAGAGAGGTTAAGGGTCTTACCTAAGATTACACAGATATGTAAGCAGTAGATCTGGCATTCGAAATCAGGCCTCTGGACTCCAAACCCACTGCCTTTTTCTTATTACATCAAACCACCTTGATAGAGGACTATGCTTTTAATGGGCTAAAACCCATGGTGGTCTCTGACTTAATATGACTAGAGTTTGCTGAGCCAGTGATCAGAAAGACAGTTGATGATAAAAGGATGCACAGCCTAGCAGAGTCAGGAGGCCTGCCTTCTCAGTGAAGAGTTAAGCAAGCTAAGCAACAGATTGGAAACTTAGTGCTTGAGTGCTGCTCTGGAGATTATCATTGACTCACTCTGGACTGATGTCAGACAATTTATTTAACCTCCTAAGTGCCTGTTCCCCATCCTGATCCAGAGATTAAACTACTTATATGACCACTTAGTAAATATCAGGCTTCAGATAGTAAGTGATGGAATTCTGACATCTGGCTGTCGGAAGAATTGCACTGGCTGATGGACGGACACACACACACACACACACACACACACACACACACACAGACATGATAGCCCATTTTCCATGCTCTGGATTCTGTGGTTATTGTGTCTGGAAGCAATGAGAATTTGGGCATGGCACAGAGAGAAGTGGGATGAAGGAAAGTTGTCAATCACAGCTGGAATAAGGGGGCAGAGTACATAAAACTTTTCCTTTATAGTTTTTAAAAATAAATTTCAAGTGGTCGAATATTCATTTGTTCTACCTCCACACACTGGAAAGATAGCAACAAAATGTGCACAAGTGAGAGAGAGAGAGAGAGAGAGAGAGAGAGAGAGAGAGAGAGAGAGAGAGAGAGAGAGAGAGAGAGATACTGTATAACCTGGGCATAGTCAAGTAAAACATTTCTACCTTGCACACATTCAAAAATGCATTTCTTATTCTGTATATTATTATATCACCTCTCTGTCACAAGGTGGGTAATGTTCTTCATCAGTCTAGAATTATGGTTGATTAGTTGGTCTGAATTCTTTAAAGTCTTTAAAATTGATCATTTTTATGGTATTAATATTAAAGTACAAATTGTTCTGGTTCTGGTCACATGGCTGCATCAGTTCATACATTGTTTTCCATGTCTCTTCATAACCATCTTTTTTCTCATTTCTTACATCATTACATTTATATGCCAAATTTGTTCAGCTGTTCTCCAAATTATTGGCATCCCTTTAGTTTCGGGGGTGGGGGAGTGTTGGTTTCCACAAAAAGTGATGTTATAAATATTTTTTTACATACGAGACCTTTTCTTTTTCTTTGATCTCTTTGAGACTTAGGCTTAGCGTCAGCATATCTGGGTCAAAGAACATGAACTGTTCAGAAACATTTTGCACATAATTACAAATTGCTTTCCAGAATGGTTGAATGTATTCAGTGCCTCACCAGCAGAACATCAATGTGCCTATTTCCTGAAGTTTTTCCAAAATTTTTCATTTTCTTTTTTGGGTCATCTTTGCAAATTGGATACACATTAGGTAGAACTTAAAAAAATTGTTTTAATTTGCATTTCTTTAATTATTAGTGACTTGAAACATTTTTTTTTGTATGGCTATAGGTAGCATGGGTTTGTTCCTTGGAGAACTGTCATTTTTATCCCTAGACCATTTGTCAATTGGAGCATTGCTATTATCATTTTAAATATGAAGTAGTTCCTTATGTATCTTAGAAATTTGATAGGACATTTGTCAGAATAACTTGCTACAAATATTTTTCCCCGCTTAATTGGTTCTCTTGTAATCTCAACTGTATTAGTTTTGTCTGGGAAAACTTTTAAAAGTTTATAAAATATATTCTCTGATCATA